ATGCAGGTTCGCTATTGATCCTTTTATTACATGAATCAAGAAATGCTTCAATATAACACAATGAATCAACAGAAATGTTTCACAATAATAGTCTGAATCAACTGACCCCCTAACAGTCCTCACTAGGCTTCATATAACTGAATCCACATGTCTATTGTCCTTCTTAACACAATATAACCAACTTGAGTATGTCACACAGACTGACTGATCTAAAGCCAGCGATCGAAAAGGAAAAAGGGGCGAGTTCTGCCGTCCCCTCCTATTTATGCCTTGTATCCGTACTCGTCTCCGTACTTGTATTCCTCCGTAATCGATACTTGTACTCGATGTCTCCGACCACTAGTTGCGTAGTTCTAACATACAGTCCGTGAAATAACATCTGCATCCCATCAATCAAAGTTGACAGGCCGTCTGAATCTCCTTGTACCGTCTCCCAAAATAGCACGCGTTGGCTTTGAGATTGTTATCAGCCCGACCCAATAAGCCACCTGTTGTGTTGCGTCAGATTGCAATACTGCGTCTCGGCTTCTCGTTCGTTATCAGATTTGTAACTAGTAGTTAGGCCCACCCTAGCTACATATATATAATTAAACTTCAAACGATCCTCAATTTTCAGTATTACATTTTAAAGAATTCATATAATTCAATGTAATATATATATATATATATATATATATATATATATATATATATATATATATATATATATATATATATATATATATATATACAGTGGCGTAGCGAGGTCTAGTGTCACACGGTGCGGCACTTAATGGTGTCACCCCCCAGAGGCGTAGCGACCCTTCCCGGGGACAAATTTTCGATTCGCACCTCCCCTCAAACTTTCGATTTGCACCCCCCTCAAACTTTTGATTTGCACCCCTCCTCCTCAAACTTTCGATTTGCACCCCCCTCAAACTTTTGATTTGCACCCCTCCTCCTCAAACTTTCGATTTGCACCCCCCCCCCTCAAATTTTTCTCTATATATTTTGCTATTTTTTGCCTTGGTGTCACCCCCCCCTAAATGGTGTCACCCGGTGCGGTCCGCCCCCCTCCCCTCAAACTTTCGATTTGCACCCCCCTCAAACTTTTGATTTGCACCCCTCCTCCTCAAACTTTCGATTTGCACCCCCCCTCAAATTTTTCTCTATATATTTTGCTATTTTTTGCCTTGGTGTCACCCCCCCTAAATGGTGTCACCCGGTGCGGTCCGCCCCCCCTCCCCTCAAACTTTCGATTTGCACCCCCCTCAAACTTTTGATTTGCACCCCTCCTCCTCAAACTTTCGATTTGCACCCCCCTCAAACTTTTGATTTGCACCCCTCCTCCTCAAACTTTCGATTTGCACCCCCCCCCCTCAAATTTTTCTCTATATATTTTGCTATTTTTTGCCTTGGTGTCACCCCCCCTAAATATATATATATATATATATATATATATATATATATATATATATATAGGCTATATATATATACATATATATATAGGCATATTATATATATATATACACACACACACATATATATATATATATATATATACATACATGTATATATAGGCATATTATATATATATATATATATATATATATATATATATATATATATATATATATATATATATATATATATATATATATATATAGGCCTATATATAGTGGCTATTTTAGTCATTTTTACGTACACAATGTCATTAATATACACATCCAGCGATCAGAAAGTAAAGTGTATGTCACATAGGTTGTGCGGACGATAAAGGATCACATAGCTGTGGGCAGTTTGTCTCGGCCGAGGTTAAGTCAACACTTGACAGATAGACAGATGAAAATTGTTATCTTAGCGTGTTGACATGACCAGATAAAGTTTGGACACAGATGCGAAGTTTATCACATGATAGAATAACCCATCACTTGCCGGAATGCCGTTGTCTTTTATCTTTTCTAGAGATCTGCTTGTAAAGATTATAGCCTATCGCAATTAAAAATCAGGACAATTCGTTTTTTAAAAACTCGTACTAGCGGGATACTAGTTTTTGACAACGTGTTAATTTAAAAAAAAAATTCAAATATATTTTTAAAAACATCATTAGAATATTCGTATATGATGGAAGAACAACTGAATCTAAGATACACTCCAATTTAAGTAAGTGTCCCTAGTTTTGTGACGACGAATGTCAAAAACAAAAGGAAAGTTTGAGAGACTTTGCAGAATTTTCTGGTACCCTGGATATAATTTGAAACCACAAACAGGGTAAACAAGTTCCTTTCGATTAACTATGTTCATAATCCGCATCACCCTTAGGGGTCTTCCATAAATGACGGCACACTCCAATGGGGGAGCGGGGGGGGGGGGGGGAGGAGGGGGGGGGGGCTCGGAGTTTTAGGAAGATTTATGACGAGGGCGAGGGTCCAGAATAAGTGGCGTCACATTTGCATTAAAAATGTTTTTGTAAATTATAATAGGAATTGATTAAATTACTTAACACAAGTCAGTCCGTATTTTAAAAAGAAATTGGGGTTAAAAAAAAGGAAAACTGCAGTAGAGTTCACGTGTTCCTGTGGCCTCGGCAAATGAAGGGATAGTGTGGTCTGCCCTATGCCCTTTACTTTCCGTAACGTGAGTTTTGTACCCGTTAGAGCTGGGTCGACTCAGGGACGTTGTATTGAATTGAATCCGGATTCGAACTCGAGAACTTGCTGGAGCCCACAGATGCTGGTGCCCTTATGTTTGTAACTCAGCAGGCAGCCCCCCCCCCCCCAGAGGCGTAGCGAGGGGGGGGGCGGGGGGGGACATATGTCCCCGGGCGCCGACTTTAGGGGGGGCGCCAAATTGAAAGTTTGAGGGGGGGGGGGTGCAAATGAAAAGTTCGAGGGGGGGGGGGGGGTGCAAATCGAAAGTTTGAGGGGGGGGGGGGGTGCAAATGAAAAGTTCGAGGGGGGGTGCAAATCGAAAGTTTGAGGGGGGGGGTGCAAATGAAAAGTTCGAGGGGAGGGGTGCAAATCGAAAATTTGCTCCCGAGGGGGGCGCCAAATTGAAAGTATGTCCCCGGGCGCCGGGAAGGGTCGCTACGCCTCTGCCCCCCCCTCCTCTCCATCCAACAGTTACGTCTCTGGCTAACCTCACTTCAACTAAATTTATATTCTAGCAGTCAAAATGACGAGAATCAAAAAGGCCTATTTAGAAAGAAAGGGGTTGGGGGAGGGGAAATTGAAAGGAATGGTTGAAAACCGAGATGTCAAGTATTGATTCTGTTTTTGTGTCGTTAAATATTAAAATCAAATTAAAAGCATGAAGCATAGGCAGTATTAAAAAAAAAAGTTTAGATCTATAGCTCAGCGTTGCTTAGCCCTTAAGCAGTGCATTACCAAGTGTGTAGTTTTTTTTTTTACGATAAAAAAGTACGCAACATATCTTCAAGTGGAGAGAGTTGTATACACATTGATTGATTTATCTGATGTCAACAGATAGCAAGGTGGATAGAAGTGCTGGAGCGATTATAGGACGGTGATGCTAATTACCGTAAATTGTGAGAAGCTGTTCCGTTCATTTTTAAAATGTAATGTTGAAATATTTATTTTAAATCTTCACCGAAAACAAACTCATGTAAAAGTCATCATAAATTCTAAGAGCGAAAATTATGTTTAAAAAAAACAACAGAATATCATAACTATACTACTACACACGACTGACCTAAACGTGTCTGCAGGCAGACATGCACATTCGTGTAGACAGACAGACATACACAAAGCTTGCTTGTAAAGTAGTAAGACATACGCCTCAATGAAGACAAACATTCATTTCTGCGTAGACAGCAGAGTTTCTTCCAGGCATCTCTTGGGATTTGGGGGGGGGGGGGGGGGGGGAGAGAAAGTCTAACGCCCCACCGAACGAAATGGAATCTATAAAGTATATACTTTTAACAGTGTGTGTGTCCCCCGTCCCCGCCGAAAATTTTAGTCCGCCCCCCCCCCCCCCCGAAAATTCCAAGCCCCCCCCCCCCCCCTGAGAAAAAAGTGTAAAGCAGACAGACATACGCCTGTATGTAGACAGGCTTACACCTGCGTGTAGACATATATACGTCTGTGTATATGTCTGTGTCTAGACATCGTGACGAACTGACGATAAAAACTGAATTTGTGTGCCTCCCAAACCTAACGGTCAAAAAAGGTAGATAAAGTAGAGTTTGTCGTCGATTTTTGTCAGCGTAAAAATAGCAGGCATACGATTTTATGCAAATATAAACGTGTGAAATAGTAATTTGTAATCAAACATGTATTCACATTGATGTACAGTGGCTTGGTGCAAAATATCAATACAGTACTCACTGTATATATATATATATATATATATATATAAATTATATATATATATATATATATATATATATATATATATATATATATATATATATATATATATATATATACATATATATAGGCCTACACACATATTAAGGCTTATATATATATATATATATATATATATATATATATATATATATATATATATATATATATATATATATATATATATATATATATATATATATATATATATATATATCAGAACAAATATATCAGAAAATCAGCGGTAAGCACCGAATGTCAGCTGACATGCTTATGTATGTGTATATATATATATATATGTGTGTGTGTATATATGTACGTACGTGTGTGTTAACTACGTGCTTGTGTGTATCTCTTGATGTGGGTGGATCTATTCTATTTATAAGCTGTGCGAGATGACTATAATAGCACGGCCCTGATAACTATTTTGAATTGCATTCTTCTTCAAAATGAGCACAGAAGTGGTGCACAACATCATTTAAAAACAAATTCCCCGTAAACGAAACAACTGGTCTACATGTAAACAATACCACAACTGTCAGATGTCAACACAAACATGTAATCGCTATTTACACATTTAATTAATATATTAATTAAACCTAATTTGTAAGATAACAAATTAGTTTAAAAACTATATATTAAAATATACCCTACCTGATTTGTTTCGTCTCTCTGTTCACGTCAGCACGTAGTTGAAATCCTACTGCTAACAACACTGTCCCCGCGGCCCTTATAGCCCTTCACATTGTGTCAGCCGCCAGCAACCAGGGGCAGGTAAACTGGTCCATGTCGCGAGTTCAGCCCCTTTGCTCTGACAATAAATAGAGCTGATGGCCCAAAATTGGATTTACTGTACAACTCCAAAAAATTCGACACACCAGGGCAATTGGGTTCTTTCCACAGAATTGAAAAACAACAAATTAAGTTGGACGTGTTTACGATTGTGACCTATTTAATTGTCAAACTAACCTATAACTAGCGTCTGTGGCGACGCAAGGGCACATACTTTAGACAACGATTGGCTTCATCAGTTAGCTCCCCTTTTGTGGCAGGTTGTACGGAAATGCTCACTTGTCTGTAGTTAGTTCCCTTTAAAGAATCGAATCAACTTACTATCTCTTGTGACGATACGTTGGTGTGAGGGTGGTAAGAACTGACTCATTTCATTTCCTTCTGTGGCCAGTGACGTAGTAAGTTTTTCTGGCGATCGGTAACTAGACAAATACTGTCGGACGCATGTTGTACAATAGCCACGAGCATTGACAGAGACTGATAAAAAGTTTGCTTGTAGAAATAAAGTTACAAAGAAACGCGAAAATATATGTGTATCCATTCATCCATCGATTTGTAAATCAATCAATCAATCAATCCACCCACCCACCCACCCACCCACCCATCCATCCATCCATCCATTCACCCACCCACCCACCCACCCATCCATCTATCCATCCATCCATCCCATCCTTCCTTCCTTCCATCTTTCCTTCCATCCGTCCGTCCATCCATCAACCCACCCATCCATCAACCAATACATCAACCCATTCATCCATCCATCTATACCTACCTAAATATATATATTCCTACACATTTACCAAGCTAACACGATCTACCTAATCCCCACAATAGCTATTATATGTATAACTCCCCAAAGCTTCTGCTGCCTATACACATCAAACTAGTAATCCTTTAACACCTGCATTCGAATTTATTGTAATTTCTTCTCAACGCAGTTCAAAATGTGCTAAATTTAACCACGTCCCTGGGCTAAGCGAGAGTGTGGTAGTTAGCGCAGGTTTGGTTTGCTTTTGTTGGGGAGTGCAGTGGTGGAGAAGAAAAAAAATGGTTTACAGTAAAGGGATATTTGATTAGGTATCCCTGTCGACATGCTTAAAACGCAGAGTGAAAAAAAACCAGGCAAAAACGTCGTGCTAAATGCATTGTAGGGAGAGATAGAAAAATAAACAAACACAAGCAGTCGGTGGTTAGTGTGTGTGTGTTCGGCTGTGTGTGTGTTGGGGGGGGGGGGGGGGGGGGGGGGGAAGACGCATGCTGTTTGAGAGAGCGAAAAAGTAAAGACTGACAAGAGGTTTTATTTAAAAAAAATGAACAACCACGTTTCAATTAATACACTTTATTTATAGGCTACTTATCATAGACGCATTTTTTTTTCACAACGCTCTAACATTTACTAAATATGAATATAAGAATAACAATGATATCCCCCAACCTTAATTCAAACCATACCTTCAGATGATTGTAATTGGATTGCATTACTTTCTTTTGTATATAACATAATCCAAACTTAACAATAACCAAATCCATAATATTTGAACATTAGACATAACTATCCACTTATAAATTACGTCACGCTTTTTTGGACGATGATTACCCTTCCCCATCGTCGCACTTCACCCCTACCCCTTCAAAAATAGCGATTTCTTTTTAAAAATATAAACCAAGATTCGTCTACATTTACTACAGTATTGATAGATTTTGATCACAGTTTGAAGTCTTTTAAAAATTCTAAATTATTTTATAGTTATACAAAGTAAAAAAAACAACAACCAACAATTGGAATGCGACGCCCCCCCCCCCCCCCCCCCCCCCCCAGGAAAACTACACTGAACAATAACTGAAACCTCAACACAACATTGGCAATGTGTTGTAGAGTAAAGCTAATCTAAAGTAAAAAAAAAATACCATACGGGTTCAACCAGGCGAACGAATCTAGATATTTAATCCATAGGGGGGCTTAACTAATCAAAGGGAAATAACAAATATATGTAATTTATAGCTAAATTGATGATTAATTTCAGCGAAGTAAATCTTTCAATTGCAGTTTCTATTAGGAACTGGAAATCCTATCTACATTAATGCATCAGCTCAGTGCTCTGTAATGATGTATACAGCTCTTCTTTATTTCTTTTTTTTACTTTTTAAAAATTTACTCCCATCAATTCAGCCGATGCCATCGACTTTTAGCTTTTCATTCTGAAACAAAAGCAAAATTGAAAGTTTTGTAGATTACCAATGCGGATTCCCATATTTTGAACCCCCCCCCCCTCCCAATCCAGTAGCAATCAATTGATGTTTTGTTCTCTGTGAAACCAATGAATAATTTTAAAAAGAAAATCCATCACAAACCTGATCTTTATCATCTTTTAAAAAAACAAAAAAACAAACAAAAAAACAAACAAAAAAAAAAACAAAAAAAAAAAAAAAAAAAAAAACGTAAAGCGTGTTAACTGTGTAATTCCATTTTTGTGGTTAAAGACACAGATTTACAACATGGCTCCCCATTCAAGCAAGGCCCAGTGAAAACTATTCAGACAACCCATAATGATAATCTAACAACAATCAGATCCATTGCATTAACCATAAGCACATCAGTCTTCTCGTAATTACTAACTTACACTTGCGATTTCCATGCTATTTCCAAATTATTTTTACTTTCTCGTATATACGATGTATGGGAAAATATTGTAATCGTGCAGAAAAAAAAAATCGAGATTTTTACAAATCTCGACGTTTTACACCTCACTGATACGGAAAAACATAATTTTGCAATCTTGTCCGTATGTCTGTCTGTGTGTGTGTGTGTGTGTGTGTGTGTGTGTGTCGGTCTGTCTGTGTGTAAACACGATTACGTTACAGCTAGGTTGATGAAATTTCATAAATAAGTATTTTATCAAAATCGTAGATCCGAATCAACTTTTGAGCGATACCCGGTAACCGGAAGTGGTACTTTTCCTACTTTGAATTTTTCAAAAGCCTATAACTTGAGTACTATTTCAGATAGATAAATGAAATTTCACATGTAAGTAAAAAATCTAATTCTCTACCTTCTGTCAAATTTTGAGTAATTTCCGTCGACCGGAAGTACTAATTTACGCTATTTCCGATTTCTCAAAAAACGCATGTAAATTTATATAGTACTAATAATATTGCGCACTATTATGCACATTTTGTTTTGGCGTTCGCTTGGTGCGCAATTCTTTTTTTTCCTATGAGATTCTATTCTATTTTTTACTTTCTCGTATATACGTAGTATAGAGAAAGTATTGTAATCGTGCAAAAAAAAAAAAAATGAGATTTTTACAAATCTCGACGTTTTACACCTCACTGATACGGAAAAACATAATTTTGCAATCTTGTCCGTATGTCTGTGTGTGTGTGTGTCTGTCTGTGTGTGTGTCTGTCCGTGTGTAAACACGATAACTTGAGTACCGTTACAGCTAGGTTGATGAAATTTCATATATAAGTATTTTATCAAAATCGTAGATCCGTATCAACTTTTGAGCGATTTCCGATAACCGGAAGTGGTACTTTTCCTACTTTGAATTTTTCAAAAGCCTATAACTTGAGTACTATTTCAGATAGATAAATGAAATTTCACATGTAAGTAAAAAATCTAATTCTCTACCTTCTGTTAAATTTTGAGTAATTTCCGTTGACTGGAAGTAGTAATTTACGCTACTTCCGATTTCTCAAAAAACTAATGTAAATTTTTAAAGTACTAATAATATTGCGCACTATTATACGCGTTTTTATTCGGCGTTTGCTTGGTGCGCAATGTTTTTTTTATGAGATTCTATTCTATTTTTAAAAGTTTAAGTATTTAAAATGGATTAAAAATCATAACTATATCCCCAGTTACCATCCCCTGTTGTTTTATATAAGAATATTCGAGAAAGTTTAGGGGAGATCACTACCGGTTTATTAAAAAGTTAAAGTAATTAAAAATCATGTCTACATTCCAAGTTATATAAGAATATTCGAGAAAGTTTAGGGGAGTTCACTCCCGGTTTATTTATTTACATACATAATAATAAGTAGTTTGGGATCGTACGCTAATTATACTACGAAAAGGAAGTATGAAGGCGATGTATCATTCTGTTATAAACTGTTACAAGAGGTAGGGTGACTCTGTACACCTATGCTTGATAAAGCATTAATATTTAAAAAAAAACAAACTAATATTGCCTTGGACCCCCCCTTCTCTGAGTGTCTCTTTAAAACAACTAAATTGATAGATAATAATGGTGCCCTGTCAAAACGGCCCGGGACAAATCGGCCCCGTCAAAACGGCCCCGTTAATACGACCCCGTCAAATCGACTCCCGACAAACCGACCCCGTCAAAATAGCCCCGTCAAAAGGGCCCCGACTTATTGGCTCCCGTCAAATGGGCTCCCGTCATATTGACTTGCGACATATAGGCTCCCGACAAATGGGCTCCCGATATTTAGGCTCCCGACAAATGGACTCCCGACATATTAACCCCTGACAAATAGGCTCAGGACATATTGGCTCCCGACAAAGCGGCTCCCGACATATTGGCTCCCGACATAAGGGCTCAAGACAAATGGGCTCCCGGCAAATGGGCTCACGACATTTTGGCTACCGACAAATGGGCTCCCGACATATTGGCTCCCGGCAATTGGGCTCCCGACATATTGGCTTTTGACAAAATGACTCCCGACATATTGGCTCCAGAAAAATGAATGATATGACCACTATTGGCATAAAAGTAACCATTGTGTACTACCGCCAATACCACCATAACCTCTTTTTAATGCCCGAATGAAATTATTTTTTCATGAACCAACATTAATTCACAAACAAATCGAGCCCTTAACAGCTAAATTCCACCAATTCTAAAGTTTTGATAATGTTTAATTTACAACAGAAAAGATCTGTTGCTTAAAAGCGAGCACAGAAGTGTAAATGTATGATATACATGATGTTAACATGATAACAGCATTTTGTTTTGATAACCTACAAGCACAGTGGCGTAGCGAGGTCGGGTGTCACCCGGTGCGGCACTTAATGGTGTCACCCCCCCAGAGGCGTTGCGACCCTTCCCGGGGACAAACTTTCAAGTTTTCGATTTGCACCCCCCCCCCCAAACTTTCGATTTGCACCCCCACCCCCTCAACTTTTTCTCTATATATTTTGCTATTTTTTGCCTTTGTGTCACCCCCCTAAATGGTGTCACCCGGTGCGGTCCGCACCCCCCGCCCCCCCCCCCCCCCCCTCGCTACGCCCCTGTACAAGCATATTGCAGTTAGGAAGGTACAGCGTGGACCCTTCTCCCCACACAATGAGTTGGAACAGCCTATAACCGACTCAATTATGGATGTCATAGATAGATGACCCTTAAATTAAAACATACTATATTTTATAATAGATAAACTAATATAAAAATAAGGCCTGCCGAACAAGAGATGCATACGTTGTATTACATAAGAGTGTTGGATAAGCAAACTCTAAAGAATATTGATGAAGGGGTCCCACTGGCAGATGTCATATTCAATGAGACCGCTTTGCCGGGAGACTTAGTCTCTACAGCACGGGTTCCCAACCTGGGGGTCGCGACCCCCCTGGGGGTCGCGAAGGGCTTTCTGGGGGGTCGCCAACTGGTATACTAAACCTTAGTAATGAGAAACAAAAAATAAATATTTAGAAGAATATCTGAAATTCGGCTTTACTAACTTCACTGGAAATGGAATAGAGAAGCAATGATTACTCAAAACTGTACAAAGTTGTTCTCAGTCACGAGGTAATGAACTTTTCAAATCTAAAACGTCATTTGAGACGAGTCATTCCGAACACACCAAAAAAGATACGGAGTTCTTTCGTCGACATGAAGCTAGTTGCAAACGTCAGAGACTTGATCGAACTGGAAGTTTTCACGAAGGAAACACAGCATTAGTGCAAGCATCATATGAAGTCGCGATAGAAAATGTCAAGCAAAAAAAAAACACAATAGGAGAAAATCTCATCAAACGCTGCATGTTGAAGATGGTGAAGTTAATTCTTGGGGATTCCAGTGCAGTAAGGGTGCAACAAATATCTCGGCCTAATAATAATATTCAGCGGCTTATAGCAGACATGTCCGTAGATGTTAAATAACAAATTTTTATTGAAATCAAGCTTTCACCATTGTTTGCTTTTCAAGTTGATAAATCAACAGACTTGAGTTCGTGATCGCAGTTGTTGGTCTTTGTCTATATTCATGCGGATGATAGCAAAGAAGAGCTTTTATTTTTTAATGATAGCATGGAAAAAATAAATACGTTTTTCGAAACTGCATGATTAAAATGGGTTAAAACGGCTGTGGGGGTTTGAACGGATGGTGTGCCATCTATGTTTTGGTCAAAATCGGGCTTCCAGAAAACAGAAAAGATTTAGCTCCCTAACCACTGCCCTCGCCATCAAGACTCCATTGCTAGTAAAAGGCGTAACTTATATTAAATCTGGAGCTTTCAAAGAACTGTGCAAATACATTAATAAAGATCACGAGGTTCTGCTTTTCTACACTACATCATGCTGGCTGTCAAAAGGAAATGTAAATCGTGTTGTGAAATTGAAAGCTGAAATCAAGTTGTCCTTCGAAGTACAAATGAAACAAGACCCTTTTGGTACACTTAATACGACATACCTAGCAGATGTATTCGAACATCAACATAAGCTTGACCTGAAGCTTCAGGGAAAATGAACGCATATTATCACTTACCATGATAAATTCGGGGCATTTTTATCAAAGCTGCAAAAATAAATCTTGGAAATATTGCCATGTTTGAGAACTCTGCAATGTAGTAGATGAAACTGTTTGTGAGATAATTAACATTTTGAAAGAAGCGATTTCTGGGCATTTTGAATCTCTTTAAAACGAACTGCAGCGCTATTTTTCTGCGCTGAAAAAAGAAGAATCTGCATTGACGCATTACCCATTCTCTTCTTCCCTTGATGTTGCCAGCATTCCAGATGAATTACAAAATGAATTCTTTGATTTGCAGAATGATTCAGCGCAAGATGAAAAAGTGCACACACAATTTTGGTGTAGTATTCACCATTCATACCCAAACGTAATATTGATTGACTTTTCGAGAATAGATTTTCAACACTATTCTCCGATTAAAAGCAAAATTAAGGAATAAATTGAATGTTGATAATGAAATAGGTAGGCGTTAACAAAAACTTAACCGCGAATGTTTAGTAAATAACACGCAATTTTACACATAGTATTAAAACAGTTATCAAGGGTAGTTCACATTGAAAGTCTACTTGAAAATCTTAATTTAGTGCTTGTTAATTTCCATACTAATTTCGGCTTTTTAATTCTATGGGGGTCGCGGGTCACTTACTTTTTATAAAAGGGGGTCGCCACTCGAAAAAGGTTGGGAACCACTGCTCTACAGAAACGGTATTGTCAGTGCAGTGGCGTAGCTAGGATTTTTGGGCCCTATGCAAAAATTATCAGTGGGCCCCTTCGTCAGCCGTTAGGCCAGTGGCGTCGCTAGGTCGGGTCTCACCCGGTGCGGCACTTGGTATTGTCACCCCCTCCCAGGAAACAAAGCATATATATATATATATATATATATATATATATATATATATATATATATATATATATATATATGTGTGTGTGTGTGTGTGTGTGTGTCGGCCTACATAGGCCTAAAATTTATATATATGCCACATACTGGTACACGTACGTGTTTAAGCTTTAATCACTGCTACTGCTGACTTAATAGTAACGATGTTTATCTACAGTCGGTTTATAATACAGTTGGATGTAGCATTGTTTTCTTTATAGTTTACGTTTACGTCGTGGTGTCACACACCCCCCCCCCCCCTCTTGATATAATTTTCGATTTGTACTTAGAAGACTATTTAACTTTAACTAATGGATCTGGAAAATGGCATTTCATTCTATAAATTTTACAATTTTTTGCCTTTGGTGTCACCCCCCCCCCCCCCCAAATGGTGTCACCCGTTGCGGCCCGCACTCCCCACCTCGCCTTCGCTACGCCTCTGCGTTGGGCTACAGAGGAGTTAAACGAAGAGATCAACTTCTACTTACGATGGATATTTTTTAATATATAAATATTCTGAAGGCAACATTTTGTATTTTATATGTCCTGATTTTGTATTTATACTATATTATTATGCTTGCCTACTACTGCTAAAAAGTTTATTTATAGGCTGATTCTCTCAATGTTTCGCACGACAAAGTGATATCGCCTGTAGTGTTATTATAACGATTGGGCTCTGTTTGACCCACAAACACTGAATCCCACTGCAGAAACGGTGGGGGGGGGGGGGGGGCTTTTTGGAACTTTTAACCTTTTTCTTTTTAAAAATTATGTATATGTAACAAATATTAAAATTCCATTGTAAAAGTTTTAATTTATTTATGAGGGAAAAGGGCCCCTATGTGCCTTGGGCCCCCATGCCTTGCTTACGCTAGCTTTACGGTAGCTACGCCACTGTGTCAGTGGTCCTTTTGTCTGGAGCCAAATTGACAGGAGCCTTTTTGTCGGGAGCCAAAATGATGCTAGCCTATTTGTCGGGAGTCGTAATGACGGGGGCCGTTTTGTGGAGAAACTAAATGGCGGGAGCCTATTTGTCGGGAGTCGTAATGACGGGGGCCGTTTTGTGGAAAAAACTAAATGACGGGAGACTATATGTCGGGAGCCAAAATGACGGGAGCCTATTTGTCAGGAGCCTTATTGACTGGAGCCCTTTTGTCGGGAGCCTATATAACGGGAGCCTATTTGTCGGTAGCCTAAATGACGGGAGCCTATTTGTCGGGAGCCTATTTGACGGGGTCCATATGTCGCTGGCCCTTTTGACGGGGCCGATTTGACGGGGTCGTTTTGACGGGGTCGTTTTGTCGGGGTCGTTTTGACGGGGCCGTTTCGTGATTGGCCGAAATGACGCCGCACGGATAATAATACATGTATTAGAACTGTTATTTCCCTTTGGTAAGAAATCGAGCCTAGAAATTCAAGTAATCGATAAGTTTCCGACCAACAACTCAATACCAATTTAATTTTAAATTTTAGTTATTAGGACCGCAATCTATTATATTTTTGGAGAGTTTCAGTTTTATGTTCGCGGAAAAAAACTTTAAATAGGATTAAATAAATAATTTTTAAAAAATTAGTGGGAACTAAAAGATAATTAAACCTAGATCTAGATCAATGGATTCGGTCATGAATAATTACGCTGATTTTCAAAGTTCCGGTTGAGATTAAATACTCGAATCTAGATCTAGATCTAGGTCTAGCAGTCCTGCTATAACCGGACAAGTTTTGCCGCTTCTGAACTAGACTATTCAAAATTTAAAAATTAATTAATTTCAAAATCTAGATTTCTAGATCTATTCTATAGACCTAGAATTTAGATCTCAATCTGCATCTAGATCTAGATCTACCTAATTAATACTAATTAACCTAAGGCTGAAGTTTTTCCTTGGTGATTAGATCTAGAATCTAGATCTAGATCTAGATTCTACTTCAAGTAGAATTTAGAGTTAATTTATATATAATTTAGACTAGAGTAGAGTCTACTCTCAGTCTAGAGTCTAGAGAGTAGACTTCAGAGTAGAGATCTAGTCTAGATCTAGATCTCTAGACCTAGAGTCTAGTAGAAAGTAGAGTATTCTTATATTTTATATTCTAGACGGATCTAGATCTAGAATCTAGATCTAGAATGTAGACTAGACTTACTTATCTAGATACTAGTAGATTTAAGTAGATGATACTACTAGACAGTACTAGAGTACTAGACTCTAGATACTAGATTCTAGATAGGATCTATTCTACATTCAAATATTCATAATGACTGACAATACTGTAATGTAATTACTTAGTGTAATAGTGTAATTCATAGATCTAGAATCTAGTAATAGAATCTAGAGTCTAGTCTAATTTTAAACTAATGTAGAATCTAGATTAGTCTAGATCTAGAGGATCTAATATTTAATATAGTATATAGATCTAGATCTAGATCTAGAATCTAGGTCTAAATTCTAGATCTAGTGCTCTTTTGCCTTTTGGGCTAGGCATTACAAAATGTTAATAAATCATTAAAACAGAACATAGATCTAGAATTACTAAATTAGTAATCTAGAGTGATCTAGACAAGATTATAATTTAGATTATGGGAGTTGTGTGGCCTAGCGGTAGAGAGCTAGACTGTTAACCAGTAAGCCTTGAGCTCAAATCCGGGTTCAATTCAGTAGAATGTACCTGAGTCCACCCAGCTTTATTTATATGGGGGGGGGGAAGGGGGTTATCGTCCTTAATGAGCTATTTTCAGTGGCAGCGTTGGAACTATCGAATTCACAAACTATGAATTACTTAAAAGTAGAAAATAAAACAACTAAATAGCAGCGTATGAAACGCTGCGGGTCGGCTCGTAGTTAATAATAGTTAATAAAGTATTATAGATCAAATCTACAATCGAGGCTCTACTTCAACTTTTTCATACATAGGTAGACAGAAGATCATGAGTGACCAGCTTAACGTGTCTAGTCCACACATCCCAGAAGATGATGAGTATCTCTGTTAGTTCTTTTCTTTGTACATTATGAATAAGTCAGCTTTGAGCATATTCACTTATGTCTTTATTTTATTATCTACCTTTTCAGTATTATAACCTTGTCTGTAGTTTAGATTTTTACATTTGTGTTTCAGTTTGTGATGAGTGCAAAATTAAATACATAGGAGATTGTACTGAACATGGTCCTCTAAATATTATATCAGATTCACAGGTAAAATAAAACATTGAGTTTTTAAGCCCTGTTAGTAACTACTTCATCTCTGGTGAAGTTTAAAGACTGGTTAAAGATGTATTAAAATAAATTTTGTAAATGTGGTATCGTACCCAAAATATCACCAAGTAAGACACTAAGATGTTTACTGTTGCTAAACAGGTTCCCCAAGACTGCATCAAGGGCAAGGACAAAAATTATTGTAGGAAAACACTGCCCCCTGGGCTGGTCATTAAAACATCTGGCCTACATTTTGCTGGACTTGGAGTTTTCACCACAATATTTATTCCTGCTCGTACAAGGTTTGGACCTTATGTTGGGAAGAAAGAGAAAAATGAGCAGATAGCTCATGATTCACGGTATTGCTGGCAGGTGAGCAATGTAGTTAAGGACTGTGTTAGACATGAGTAACAGTTTTGTTTAGGACAGCATCAAGCTGAATTATGGGTTCTTATACATTTTCTATTTTTTAGATATAGATCTATGTTCATTTTATTTCATTATAAAGAGATTTGTCATTTAAACACTTGTAAAAAGTTGTAAAGTATAAGGGCCTTGTGCTGTGGGCCAGATAGGTACACAAGTGTAAGATTTTTTGTGTTTTGTTTTGTGTATGCTGTGGCAGGTCTGGATAGATTTAGAGCTTATAAATTGTTTGCATTTCTGTAGCTACTGTCAAATTATGTTCTAGATAAATTCAATTAAACTTTTATCTGTTCACATTATCACTTGACCTGATCACCTCTTTAAATGCATTCCATTCACTACAAACAGGTCACTCTGTGATCAGATATTTAACTTGATGATGAACTGGGTTTTGACAGGTGACAAATTAGTCATAATTTTATCACTACTCTGAACCTTTAAATCAAACTTCCAATTTACAATCCACATTATTTTTTTGTTTTATAAGAACTGCCAGATTATCAACCATTATAAATAAAGCAACTTGAGTGATGGTTGTAGCAATGAAAAAGGAGTTTTTAAATCCATTTTGGGAAATACTGATGTAGATCTTTTGAATTGGTATCTCTTTGAACACTTTTTGGCTGTATAAGCAACAAGGTCCTCCATAGTATGTTATGGCTGAGATGCTGTTTTTGGCTTAGCCAACTTATTCTGAGAAAGTTTACTATGTGAGCAAGTTTCATAAAACAAAATTACTTTTTTTATTGAACTCTGTTTAGTCTCATTTATGATAAAGGGTAAAATAGTTAAATGTGCTCCTTTAGATCTTCAAAGATGGAAGGCCATCCCATTTTATTGATGCCAGTGACAGATCTGATTCTAACTGGATGAGATTTGTAAACTGTGCACGCTGTGAGGATGAGCAGTGTGTCACAGCATACCAGCACCAGGGTGAGATCTTCTACAGAACTAACAGGGACATTACTGCTGGCACAGAATTACTGGTAACTACCCCATAGATACTCCGTCAGTCAAAGATTTTAATACTTTTTTCTATGCTTCTATAAAAAAAAAGCCAACTAACTCACTAACTGCAAACTGGATGTTTTAATGAAATAGTGATCTGGACAGTCCTTATTTATTTAATTATAATCCAATTATATTTGGTTTAGTTAACTTGTTAGAGTAAACATTTTAATTAGTAATATTAGCATCAGTATTTTACTTGTTAAAACAAAAATGTTTTTATGACAAAATAATTCAATTATATGGTCTTATATCTGTAGATTATAACCATTCTAGCAATTTGTTTAGTATTGTTGATATGCAGGGTGGGACAGAAGCAGACATAAAAATAAGGACGGGTAAGGCAAGAGCACTCTTCAACCAACTAGAAAATATTTGGGGTTCTGGAAATTTAACCCCTGGAATAAAAATCCAGATCTTCAACACACTAGTAAAACCTGTTTTACTCTATGGAGCTGAGACATGGAGAATAACTGCTATAAATAAGAAGAAAATACAATCATTTATAAACAGAAAGATCCTGCGAATTTGCTGGCCTAAAACCATCAGAAATGATGTTCTATGGCAATGGCCAAATCAACTGCCAGTTGAAGTAGATATCCTCCAGAGAAAATGGAGATGGATTGGCCACACACTCAGGAAGCCTGTATCCAGAATAGCAAGACAGGCCCTCACCTGGAATCCACAAGGCAGGAGGAGGAGAGGCAGATCAAGAAAGACCTGGAGACGTGACCTGGAAGAAGACACCATGAAGATTGGATACACCTTGGAACAGTTAGAGAGACTAGCCCAGGACAGAGACGCCTGGATAGCTCTTGTCAGCTGCCTATGTCCCAGGAGGGACAACAGGCAAACCTAACCTAACCTAATTATGAAGCAAACAGTAATTGTGGGTCATAAATCAGAGTTGTATTAAATGATTATAATGCTAAGACTACAGAAAATATTACTTTTAAAACTTTCTTTTCATACAAAAAGTAAATGTTCAAAAGTTTAATAGGCCTATCAACTTTGTACAGCCCTGTGCACATTCTTTTCTATTCCCCTTCTTTTATGCTCATTTGACTACAATTCGACTTTTTAAATAAATTTGCTTTATGCCAAGTTGAACCAATTTACACAAAACAATGGTATTGTTTACATACACAAAACCATGGATTTTACATTTCACCATTGTACATGACACAATGTATATTTGGAACAGGAGTAGTCACCCTACTTTAACATTTTAAAGTTTTCATAATGTTCTGATGTTTAAGTTTTTTGTGTGGAATGACAGTTATATATTAATATTATCCATGCCAGTTGAGATAGGTTTGTCAAGAGTAAAGCATTACTTTTGTAGCTTAGTGTGGTCCTGTATGTGATGAGTGTCTTAATGCTGTGACATCAAAGTGGGGAACTAAACTCAAAACTATTGGTTTAGCAGTCCTATACTTGGCCACATCATACCAAATAATTCAAACAGATTGAATGTTTTGTTCTCACTATAGTGAACTGATATTTTCAGGTGTCCTATGGAGACAACCTGGGCATTCAGGTAGAGAGTGTTGGTGTTAAAAGCAAGAACAGCTTAGCAAACATGGTGAACAATGACAGTGGTAAATATATTTATTCAATTCTTTACACTTTCCTGATTGTAATCATCTATAGACTTCTCACCACTGTTAGATGCAGTTCAGTTTTGTGTCCATTGTATAAGTAAGCCATGGCTGTGTTCATTGTATCAGAGAGTTATCATTGTGTCCAATGTATTAGTAAACCATCACTGTGTCCAATGTATCAGTTAGTGATGTGTACACTGTTTGAGTTAACACTGTGTCCACTTAATCAGTTAATCACTGTATCCACAGGTAATCATCACTGTGTCCATTGTATAAGTAAGCCATGGTTGTGTTCATTGTATCAGTTAGTGAAGTGTCCACTGTTTCAGTTAATCACTGTGTCCACTTTATCAGTTAACCATCACTGTGTCTACTGTATCACTTAGTTATCACTGTGCCTAATGTACCATTTAGTCATCACTATTTCATGTACCAATTAGTCAACAGTGTTCACTATATCACTTAGTCGTCACTGTGTCCACTGTATCAAGTCAATTTTTACAATTTGCAGATATTGATGCATGCCAGTATTACAGATTGGATTTTTCAAAACTTTCCAATTCGAATAGGGGTCTGGATCTCAATGATAAAGACAGCCAACATTCTTCCATGACGACATCTAACTTTCATCAACGCCATAGAATTCATACAGGAGATAAGCCTTACAAGTGTGACAGGTGTAGTAAATATTTTGAAAAAAGCACCCAATTAAAGATTCACCAAAGAATTCATACAGGAGAAAAGCCTTACAAGTGTGAGAAATGTGGTAACTGTTTTGCGCAGCTTGGTAACTTGAAGATACACCATAGATATCATACAGGAGAGAAGACTTACAAGTGTGATATATGTGGTAAATGTTACATACAGCGTGCTTGGTTAAAGCAACACCTTAAAGTACATGCAACAGAAAAAACTTACAAGTGTGACTTATGTGGTAAATGTTTCAAACATCTTCCTTATTTAAATGAGCACCTCAGAATTCATGCAGGAGAAAAGCCAAACATGTGTAACATATGTAGTAAATCGTTCGCACATCCTTCTTATTTAAAGGAACACCTTAGAATTCATACAGGAGAAAAGCTGTTCAAGTGTGACACTTGTGGTAGATGTTTCACACATCTTGTTGTTTTAAAAAGACACCATAATATTCATACACAGAAAAAATCTTTCAAGTGTGACATATGTGGTAAATGTTTAACAAGAAAGTACATTTTAAAGGAACACCTTAAAATTCATACAGGGGAAAAGCCTTACAAATGTGATGTATGTGGCAAATGTTTTATACAACATGTTGTTCTAAAGGAACACCTTAGAAATCATACAGGAGAAAAGCCTTACATGTGTGACATATGTGGTAAACGTTTCACAAAGCGTTTTTTATTAAACAGTCACCTTAAAATTCATATTCCAGAAAAGTCATACATGTGTGATATATGTGGTAAATGTTTCACACAGCGTTTTCATTTAAAGAAACACCTTCAACTTCATTCTGGAGTAAAGTCATACATGTGTGACATATGTGGTAAATTTTTCATACAGCCTTTGCATTTAAAACATCACCTTCAAGTTCATACAGGAGAAAAGCCTTACAGGTGTGACATATGTTGTAGAAGTTTCACCCATCTAGCTTATTTAAAGCAACACCTTCAAGTTCATACAGGAGAAAAGTCATACATGTGTGATATATGTGGTAAATGTTTCATCAAATTAGCTTATTTAAAGGAACACCTTAAAATTCATACAGGAGAAAAAACGTACAGGTGTGACATATGTGGTAAATGTTTCACAATGCCTGTGTATTTAAAGGTACACCTTAGAACTCATACAGGAGAAAAACCTTTCATGTGTCACATATGTGGTAAATGTTTCACATATGGTGGTGGTTTAAAGAGACACCATAGAAAGCATACACAAGAAAAGCCATACAAGTACAAGTGTGAATTATGTGGTAAATGTTTAATAAGTCCTTCCCATTTAAAAGTCCACTATAGAATTCACACTGGAGAGAAGCCTTATAAGTGTAACATATGTGGTAAATGTTTCATGCAGCTTTCAGTTTTAAAAATGCACCTCAGAATTCATACTGGAGAAAAGTCATTCATGTGTGACAAATGTGGTAAATGTTTGGCACACCCTACGTCTTTACGTAATCACCTTATAATTCATACAAAAGAGAAGTTTTTCAAGTGTGACATATGTGGAAAATGTTTTAAAAGAAACGACCATTTACTGGAGCACCATAAAGTTCATACTAGACTAAAGCCTTACAAGTGTGACAAATGTGACATATCCTTTGCAAAGCTTAGTGATTTAAAACGACACAAAAAAATTCTTACAGGAGAAACACCTTACAAGTGTGACGCATGTGGAAAACGTTTCACATCACTTGCTTGTTTAAAGATACACCGTAGACTGCATATACAAGAAACACCTTGCAAGTGTGACATATGTGGGAAATGTTACACACAGCTTGCTGAACTGAAGATTCACCTTAGAGGTCATACTGGAGAAAAGCGTTACAACTGTGACTCATGTGGTAAATTTTTCAGAGCTCTTTCTTATTTAACGAAACACCAAAGAGTTCATACAGGAGAAAAGCCTTACCAGTGTTTCAAATGTGGTAAGTGTTTCACACAGACCTCAAACTTACAGAGGCACCATAAAATTCATACAGATGAGTATTGAGTGCAAGCAGTGTTTCTGCACCCTCAAAATACTCCAAGTATAACAGAACCCACAAATTAAATATATCTCTGAACATCTGTTTGAACAAAACATGGCTTGTTTTATCTGTTATGATATCCACAGTCAGTTGATGACCATCATGACCCTTGCTTTGTGAGAGAACATTGTTGAACTATTTATTACTCACGAGCCGACCCGCGGCGTATCATACGCAGCTATTTAGTTGTTTTATTTTCTACTTTTCAGTAATTCATAATCTGTGAATTCAACAGTACCAATGCTGCCACTGAAAATATTTGCTTTAAAACACTAACCCCCCCTTTCCCCTAACCCCGACCCTACACCCCCTCCCCCCTCCCCCGTGAAAGCAGCCTCCTCTTAGTTACCTACCCTAAGTTTAAAATCGTTTCAAACTAAATTATCTGCCCCTAATAGCCGTCACTAAACCCGGCTCTACGATTTGTAAACATTTAATTTAGCGTGACCACAATTCACCAGACCATGGTGGGGTGGGGGTGGTAGTGATAGTGATAGAGAGAAAGAGAGGGGACTGTAAGGAGGCGCTTGCAGCTTGTTTTCTAAAGTCTCCCAGAAGAGAATTATATATATAGATACTGTTATCTGTTAGTATTAAATTTGTCAATATCAAGCTATTCTTTGCTAATTTAAAAAAAATTGTCACAGCATATAAGATACTTTGTACACTCTTACTCAGTTCCATTTTAGTTCAAGGTAGTGGTGTGAAGTATATTTTATTAAAATCAAAGACATGCAAATGCATCAGGTGCAAGCTATCATTTCTTACACATTTTAGAGTCCAATGCTTTTACCTACGAGAGAAAGTTTATTTTATATTCTTATGTTTGAAATATAAGCATATTAATTTACATTTTTTTTATAGTTGATTCATTTTTGTCTAAAGTTTGATTTACGTGGCCTCCATTAAAGTGTGTCTGACAAAGTGTATCCAACTCAGTTGTATCCAATTTGATATTTATTGTAAATTAATGAGCAAGGATAGCAAGTAGTCAATCATCAACTCTAGTTGCTGATAACATATGCACACGATCATGATTTTTTTAAATTAAAAAAACCACAAGTTATTAATAAAAAGGAAATGATCCTGTCCTGTTTTTGGCAAAGGGTAAAAAAAGCAAAATGGCTGCAGGTGATGCTTGCGCAAATCAAGTTACTTACAAGTGGATTCATGAAAGACTGATCGACCAAACTGATGACTTGGATAAAAACTGACCTAAAGTTAAATATGGCACATCATCCTCTTTGTAACAGTTTGATAAAGATAGAAGTTACTTTTTTGGACCTATTGATCTGTAGCGTAGATGAAGTAGAGTTCATATGTTTCTTGAGCTCAGCATATGATGGGACTGCGTGGTGGAGTGGTGGTGACTTCAGTTGCCAGCCAGACAGCTTAAAGTTCAGATCTCAGGGAAAAGTTGACACAGTGGGTGGGGGTTACAACTTAGAAGTCACATTATGTTGCAAGGCAACATCATGTTTTTTTAAATGATCTGTTTTAATTGAATGAAAGTCCTTAACTGAATAAACTGTCTTTATGTTGATTGTTTAGCAGATACTATAAGAAATTATATTTTTATCCAGTGGTGTCATTAGGTCAATCGTTGCATGATGCGATAACTTATGGTGTGGAGCTACAAAACGTAGACATATTTATCTACAACTTTTTACTAATCCAGTTGGATAGAGCTTCATTTTCTATATGAAATTGAATTTTTAAAAAAATTTGGTGTCTACAGTTATTGTTTGTACCATAACCCCAGGGAATTTTAGCAAGGAAATTAATGTCATTAGGTATTAATGTTATAATATATGTTTTATGATTGCCCTGTAGCAACTTTGTGACGTTTTGCACATGCCTTGTATCGACCTACTCCAGAATGGGACAAGAAGTCACAACCTTAAAACCAGAGATCAGCGTGGTAGAGTCGGTAAAGCTCATGGTTACTAAACCCAAAAGTCTCGAGTTCGAACCCTCAGGCAGATGAGACTCATCAGCTGGGAACAGCCACTCTTCTAGGAGAGACAACTCCAAAATCAAACAACTGCTGCCTTGTAGTTTGTTCTTGGTTGGACAAAGGCTGTAGAAGCAAATCCAAAAAGAAAAGCAGGGTGAAATGGGAGTCAATTGCCTCAATGGTGCATAACCAGTTGACACATACATATACTTAATTGTGTTGGAGGGGGATCCCTTCCATCACTAAAATTAAGAATGAAGAACAAGAAAACAAGAGCACATTTTTCATTCATCTCAAAAAAAAAAAAAAACAACCTATTGAACTAATTTTACTTGCTCAATGTTATTTTAATGTATGTTTTATATCTTGTTCAGTCTTAGTAGTATTAACTTTAAAGGGTAACAAGTACACAAAAATGACTTTTAGCCCACCCTTCCAAATAGGCATGCGTTTGTGTGTATATTTTTGTCTAATTACATAGAATTGATTTTTTGTGTGTGATTTGCTGGCTTGGAAAAAGAAAACAAGTGTTTTTATATTAGGTGCCTACTAAATTAAAATTTAAAATGCATTCTAGTTGTTTGTTTTTCTTTAATTTTGCAGTTTATTTGTATATCTAGATTGTGCACTAATTATAATCTGTGATAATAAAATTCTCTGCTCTGCCTTTTGCTTTTAAGACATTTATCTCCAGAAAAGGGGAAACTTGCACCGGGGGGGGGGGGGGGGGGGTGGCCGTGCTCTCGACGTGCCCACACCCCCAAAATTACTGAAACACTCCTGCTGGATATTTTTACTGGAGTTTGACCAATGTTGTATCAATAATTATGATACATTTTGTTATAATAGAAATAACGCTCTGCATGGTGGTTGATTGCAAGCTTCCTGAACAATTCAAATTTTTAATTGCATTTTGCCATTAAATTTTAATTAAATGATTTTCATATTTTTAAAAAGATGACATTTAAAAAGTATATTACTGATTACTGTTATTTAAATATTCGGTATTTAGAGATAACCTAGATCTACAAAAATTTTACTTCAGAGTTATCCGTTACAAAATGGCGACCAAAACACGCATGCCAAAAAAAGCGAAAGTAAAACAAGATACTAATAATGAATCTAATAAAACGTAAGAAACTATTAAAATATAATTTGAAATAATCATTTGCTGTAGTTAACCAGTGCGGTAAAAATTTAGAGAAAACCCTTGATATTTCATAGTATCCGCCGCCAACCAATCAAACGCGCGCTTTCAACGCGTTTTGGTTGGCGGCTGACGTCACGATGACGTCACGCGACCCGTAAACACGGCGTTTTTGGAGCTAAAAAAAGGGCAGAAAAAGCCATTTTTTCTACGTGTAGTTCGGATTTTTTTACGTTTTTTAAAATGGGCCCGAAAATGACCCTTTTTAGAAATGGACATAGCCATTTTTTCGAAGAATTAATTCAAAAAAGGGCCGTTTTGAGCTATGTTTCAATGTAAACAAAGGCCCATGTCAACACGTGTCAAACCACGTGAAGGCACCCGATCGACGATTTCGGTCACGCATGAGTGGTTTTCGTACATTCTCGTGAACTAAATACCAGTTTCTTGACAACAAATTGGAAAACGACAATTTCGTGAAAATAACGACCCTAGAGGAATGGCTTTTGAAGATTATTAAATAAAAATCGATGTATAAGCTACATGTGTTGATTCTTAAGTTGTCTATAATTGACTAGACTCTAGTAGGGCATGCTGAAACAACGGCCTTAGGGCGCCGTGTAGTGTGTAGTTTCGCTAAGTCTAAATTAATCAGCAGGGCCGCAGATCAACCGCAAACTGTTAAATTGGTTGAATGTGAAAAGCATACTACTTACAAATTACTTTTGAATATTCACATCACACAAAATAATCCCAAAGAAAGCACAAAATAAAATCCTTTAGAAAAGCATCACCAAGAAATTTGAAAACCACAGTATGTCAACCAGCCATCTTTGCCTCTTTGGCTCGATCTAGAGGTCATTCTTTAGCCTACACATGGGCCTTGCCAACAAATTTAGTTTCTGACGGCACACGACATTTAGATCAATATATTAATTAACAAACTAACTGAATTCCAACATTCTATCACTCTAATCCCAAAATGAAACAGAATTTGAAGCACAATAATCTAACGAATAAATCCCACTCTAAGTAAGTGTCGCAGCTTTAATCCTGGATACAACCGTAGTGTGTAGTCGTGTTGTGAGTAAACTTGCACGAGATAAAACACCGACCTAGACCTTCCTGATGTTGTGTATGGCCCCAACGTTAAATGCTGGGAGTAGGGGAGGGGAATTTAACACCAGAATTTTTTTTTTCAATAGTTAGATCACCAGTAGTTCACGCATCCTAACGGGGTTGAAAGTGTAACTTTATATTCAACTAGGCAAAAGGTGGAGGGGCGGGGTCATTTAAACGACGGAGCTATATTTCTAGTAGAAGAATACGGGGAAGCCGGGATTTGAAGCCGGCATTTCATTATTGTCATTGCTATTGAGTACAACCCTTTATTCTAGTTTAATGCACGACTAGGCTACTCATTACGAAATCTAAAAAATGTCTTTGTGCTACCATGCAAAAGTAGCCTAATATTTCTACTGAATGGGGTAGGTATTTGACTTTGTTTATTTAAATGCAGATCCCATTAGCCTAAACATATTTGGATGCACATTTTAGTTATATCGTAAGGATAAATTTTATAATACAATGCATATACTCTGGCAGTCCTTCAAGTATTAGTAGTTATTGCCTATTGGACTATCCATAACTTGTATTTCAAAGATTTATAATGAGCGGGGTGCACTCGATGTTTTAAGTGCTACATTCGGTAGCAGTTACTTTGTGCATGACAGCATCCCAATAGTTCACTGTTAATGTAAACTGAGCTTGACGAGATTCCCATCTCCAAGCCGAGTTTCTTCCAGGCATCTCTTCGCGGGGGGGGGGGGGGGGGGGGGGGGGGGGCTTTGCCCCCCGAAAGTTTTTTACCGCCCCCCCCCCCCGAACGAAATGAAATTTATATAGTTTATATAAAAAATATACACTTTTAACAGTGTCCGCCCCCCCCGAAGAAAGTCTACCGCCCCCCCCCCCCCCCCCGGAGAAAAAAGTCTGGAAGAAACACTGTCTCCAAGCAATCGTATGATAGACCCAGCAAGCATCACTCGTTAAATTCGACATCATAGCTATACCAGTCCTTGATTTTCGTCTAGTTCTTGGTTTTAAAAAAAAAACGTCTCCCCCCCCCTTCCCGCTTGCGCCGACGTCATCGTAGGCCAATACCACGGTGCATTTTTTTTTCACGGAGTATAACACACACCTCTCTCCCCCTCACAGCAAGCGCCAACAACGGTCACCCAAGGCCAATAACACGCACCACGGTGGATTTTTTTTCAATGAGTATATACCCTACCCACCCGCCGCCTTACAGCATACCGCTAGTCTTTACAAACGGGGTTAAAAGTTTAACTTTGAGTTCAAGAAGGGGAGCGGGTGGTATTGAAACAATGATGTTCTTTAATATGTTTAATAGTACAAATACATAGTAAAAAAATTATACTTACCTACTTCTATAGCATCATACATAATTTTATAATTAGCAAATTAATTAATTAATTAATTAAATATATCTAATGATAATGAAGGGAGATAGTTTATTTTGGTTAAGGCACGACACACAACACTATGCGTGCGTGGTATGTGGCCTGACCGACCGAAAGGAGATTGTTTATATTATTGTTTTGAGTTTATATTTAACTCAATGCAACGAGCCCGCCGGTTGGCTGAGGCCACGCCGGGGAGACGATCTGTCCGGGATTCAAAGGGTCGATTCTAAATATCATCCGTATATTGTCATACTTTTGTGTCAAATATTATAGATAAATGAATAATAAACCTAAATCAATGGCTAAATATATCGATATAGGCCAGAAATTAACTTTAAACAGCAGTGTCTGAGAGCAAGATTTGCTATATAAACAGCAGCCATTTGTAAAATAGAGTGGCTTCCCCCTGAATCTGGCGCTAAAAGCTTATAAAAATAAAACTTAGACAAGATGGCTGCTATAGTAAATGAGCATGGTTGCATCTGTTGGAAACATCGCTAGTCTTCATTTATTACGGAAAAGTTTTAATTCAATTGTTTAAAAACAGGTACATAAATGAATCAAGGAAACATTTTTGAATTTTTTAAAACATAAATCTTCCTCAAAATGTGAAATAATTATTAAAATTTAAGGAGTCACCTGTTTTTCACATTACAAATCGCGGGCGATTTTACGTACCCAAAACGATAGATTACCCTTTTGGGTCGTCGTAGGTAGAGATTACTTTACTTTACTCTAGTAACTAGAGCAGGGGTTCCCAACCTTTTTACTTTCTCGTATATACGTAGTATAGAGAAAGTATTGTAATCGTGCAAAAAAAAAAAAATCGAGATTTTTACAAATCTCGACGTTTTACACCTCACTGATACGGAAAAACATAATTTTGCAATCTTGTCCGTATGTCTGTGTGTCTGTGTGTCTGTCTGTCCGTGTGTAAACACGATAACTTGAGTACCGTTACAGCTAGGTTGATGAAATTTCATATATAAGTATTTTATCAAAATCGTAGATCCGTATCAACTTTTGAGCGATTTCCGATAACCGGAAGTGGTACTTTTCCTACTTTGAATTTTTCAAAAGCCTATAACTAGGTAGTCCAAACTGGTGAAAAAGTGCGTTTTAGGGTCAGTTTTTGCGGTTTTCAAAAAAAAAATTTCACTACTTCTAGTTGTCCTATAAGAATAAAAATTATATGTCAATAAAGTTTAAGTCTTTATCTGTCGTAATCTGGTATTTTTATATCTGTAACACATGTTTGAATGTGTTTTATATTTGTTTGAAAACTATCAGTTACGTCAACAAATTTCACCGTTTTGCGTGTACCGATCGACCCCACACTGTTTTATTTGGTCGCGGCTTCGAGACGAAGCATCGTAGAAGCATAATCTTAATGTCATTTTAAAGATCGAATTCTAGGCTATCGTTTGATGTATAAATTGAAAAAACAACTTGTTTATTTCATTTAAAAAATACAGATTTTAAACTTTAAATGACGATATATACACGGAAACAAACTAATTCTGTTTCAATTTTTACACCGATGTAAAGTTCAGTTTTATAACTACTTTGTGTTGTAAATTCAAGTATTTCTGATTTACGGTCGCGAAGCCGTACCCCCAATAAACATATAACCCTCGAGTCGACTTTCAGCCCCGAGTAAGTTGCTCGCCGAACGGTTTTAAAGGTTGACGACCGATGATGCTAAACGGATTTTACCCTTGCTAGAGCCTTCAAACAAGTTGTAAGTATCATTTTTAAAGTTTCATTTCCATTTTAATAAATGAATTTTAAGTTTGAATGTCAGTTTGGTTTAATTAGTACACGTTATTAATGTAAATTTAAACGCTACAAGTCCACGGTTTTAGCGGGTGAACTACGCTTGTACACAGGGTGTGTTTAGACGTGAAGCTATTTAATTCAGGACATTCTAGGGACTTGAAATATGGATGCACTTAACTATTAGATGCTAGTGTTTACTAATTCTTTAAAATCTATTGACTGGGATCAATGATAGGGTCGTATTACTACAGTTTATCTGGACTATCACGTCAAAATTATGAATCGACAAATTCAAAATGGCCACCAGACTATCCTGGTTACTATGTGGACGAACTCAATTATTTACAGGGAACGAAGGTTAAATACTTATAAAATACTAATGAAACACAAAAGAAATTTATAATTATAATAACTATACATTTTTATCAATGTATTTAAAACAAAAGACACTAAATTTGAAGGACTAATGTGATTAATTTTTTTATTTTCTGTTGTGCACTCTGATTCTGATTCCCCTGCTGAATAATGTGAAATGGTCTGCGCCAGTCTCCTTAATAAAATGTACCAGATCAATTTTTAGATGGTTGTGCAATTTATTAAGATTGTACATGTTGTGACTTAGTTTTAAATGTTATATTAGTTGTAAGTGTAAGTAGTACTAGTAGTATTTCTCATTACTTATTTATTTTATATGCATATAATAGTAACAATGAAGGACAG